TTTCAGCTGAAAAGCAAAGATTGGCATTAATTTCACAAAACAGCGATGAATTAGCTTAGTCTCTTGTGATAATTCCTGATTTGCATTTCTCATAATGATGATTTATCCCAAATGAAAACACCCCTTATTACCACACATAAAATCAAAAGAATGGCGTAATACAGATAATCGATCAACATATCGCCATATTGGCTTTATGGATTCTAGGTCTGTAGTAGTCATGATTAACTAGCTTAGAATTTCCAAATACCCCAAATAAACAATGTACGTGATATACACTTCTTTTCTTTTCAGAGACCAGCTCTTGTAAAGGAATTCTGACTCGAATAGCCCATTGTACTGGAGTTTCGTATTGTTTAATAACTGATATGTATCATATCCCGGTCTATTATTAATGAGTTTCTTCGATTTAGCTTTTTTATCAATAATAATAGGAATACTAAGACATGACATAAGCTATTTTTCGAGAGTGTTGTATTTTGAGGGGTTGAACGATATATGATATGAGAATGGGAGAGACGTGATTTTGACGACAGGCCGTCGCTGAAATTTTGTCATGTGATTTTGGTTTTTCACGTGGAGTAGCCCATTTATTCGAAATAAAATTTTCGCGTACAATAAAATAATAAAACAACTCTTACACACAATGTCCGTGCAATCAACAACCGTTCTCCTGGCTTTTTATCTTGTCACCAAGATCGAAGACTGGACGTACACTAATATAATGAATTATTATCAAGAGAAAAATGGCGAAAAGAAAACGAAGAAATTGCTGGATCGTATAAACAAAGATCTAAAAGTAATAACAAATCCTGGTTCTCAATTTGATAAATCACGTAAAGACAAGGCTGAAGAAATCCTTCGTAACTGGAAGGTATGTTACTCGTGAGATAGGGCTTGTGTAAGTTAAGAGCTTATTCTGAACAGTTATGAACTGCTTGTTCGCACTTGACGCAAGCTGGGGATATTAGTGGAAGCTAGTTCCCAGTGACGAACTGCTAGTTCGACGCTCGTGCAAGCTGGGACTGCTAGTCTGAAAGAATAAGCTCATTGTCAGTGATGAACTGCTAGTTCGACGCTTAATGCAAGCTGGACTGCGTGTCTGCAGTGTTCGACATTTAGCGCAAGCTGACTTCATTTATTGTGAAATATTTTTTGAGAATATTATTAATTTTGACTTTATTTTTCCAAGGAATGGAAATCATCATCAAACAAATTAGATATGTGTTTGAATATTCGACGTTTTCATGTGAGTTTCTATTCTGGAAATTGCTTAAGACATAAAAAAATACTGAGTAGTATTTTATCAATTAGGTAGAACAGCTTGCAACCGGAGATTCTGCAACCCATATCACCAATAATCATTGTCGAGATGTAAGAATAGTTATTGACTTCAAGATTAATTACACTGTCTGATTATGTACTTGTATCTAACAATTGTTTTGAATTATAGATAAAAGTTGCACGCAATATGGCACAAGGAATTGAAGAAGATGGTAGAACTACTATGACGAATACCAATACGGAGCTGGTACGTTT